AAAAAATAAATTGAGGTTAAAGACCTTGAAAAAGACCCTTTTATATCATTGACCTCTGCATTGAAATGTTTTGTGTAAAGATATATATTAGTAAGTTAGAAACGAAAGCCACGTAAAATACTACATGTGGGGAATAGCTTTTAAAACTATATGAAAATAGAATAAAACCCCATTGTAGGCCTCAGTCAGTGAAAATCAATTTAAAATTTGTTCGTTAGGCCTTACTAGCTGTGTTGGGTGCTTCTCTATTTTTAACTCTGATTCACAAGCAAATGACTCTATAGTCATTTGCTTTGGAGAGAAAGATGGCATTTTGTACTTTTTTGGAAGAAGTCCATGTATGTCAAGCAGAGCCTTTGATACTGGGACCGTGAATTACTATCATTTCCTTATCCCAGGTGACTCAGGGGCATTGGTATGAGATATTTCTGTTCCTGTTCACATCTCACTTAACGAGTTCATTCATTAATTCATTTATTCATTCATTCAACCAAAGGTATGGAGCCCCTGCTTACTTCCAAAGGTTACTATTTCTGCAGTCAAAAAAGGGATATAGAAGGAAGCATTAACTTAGTAACAGCGGAAAAGAACCTTCAGGTTTATAGCTAAGAATACTGGGAGTGACAAGTGTATGTTACTGAGTGACTTTGCCACTTTCTCTTTATTTAGTCTGTCCATCCCATTAACAGGAGGAATTCCAGGTTTATTAAATAATAATCTCATCCATGTAAATAATACTGTAGAGCTTGCTGTCCAGTATGGTAGTCACTAGCTACATGTGGCTATTTTGATTTCAGTTAGGTAGAATTAAATTAATAAAAAATAATAAAAATCTCTTAAATAAAATAAAATTAAGTAAAACAGTCTGCTCCTCAGTTGCACTAGCCCTATTTCAAGGCCTTGTGGCTGCCATATTGGATAGAACAGATTACAGAGCATTTCCATCATTACAGAAAAGTCTGTTGGAGAGCACAGCCCTAGAGTTTGCAGATGATCTTCAGAGACACTCTCTCACTTGATCCTCACAATAATCCTATGAAATGGCAAGGTGTACAATATTACTTATATTCATATAATTGAGGAAGGTTAAATAATGTATCTTTCCCTGGAATTTAACTTAGAGAATTTCCCTTGGAAGCAAATGATGGAAGCACAGGTAAATACAAAAGAGTAAATGACTTATGTATAATTTTGGATCTTAAACTGTAAGTCTCTTGAAGATAGAAATGTGGTCTAGTTTGTTCACTGGTGTATCCCAGTATCTATCACAGAGCCTGGTACAAGCTAAGTCCGCAGTAGTTACTAATTGCATGAATGTATAGATGTCATTTTTGGCCCAAGCAGATTTTGTGGTTTAATATACTTCTTAAAATGTGGATACCCAGATCAAAGAAACTCCTGGATTAATGGGCTATGATTAAAGTTCTGGTTAGCAAAAGAAGAAAGATTGAAAACTATACTGTATTCTGCTTGTGATCTCTTTTTAGTATAGTTACAGCTTGGGGAAGATAAGTTTTTTCTACTCCTTCCTGAATTCAACCATTTGAAAAGTTTGAAATAATTCTCTGAATGCGTAGGCACTGTTTCCTGGCAATAAGTTTCAATAAAATGTTGCTGCAAGCACTTATTGTGCATAACTCTTCTTGCTGTGTGTGCACATGCACTTAACCTAGAAAAGAATTGTTTTAAATTAATGTATGTAGGTCATGAAAATAAAATGAAGATGGTCAGTAGTCATACGCACTGTCTGCTAAAAGAATTGTTTTATTTTACAATGGCATATCAATGATACACATCAATTATGTTTCCTTCTGACTTAAGTGTACATCTGACATTGTAGAAAGTATAAAAATTGACACAAATAAAGCCTTTATATCTTCTTTTTGAAAGAGAAAAGGGATCAAACACTGGGTAATTATGTAAGTATTACCAAGACGAAGTAAATTTACAAAATTCGATTTTATAATATGTAACTCTAATATCAGTTCTTTATAATATATAATACTGATACGATATACTTCTATTTACCAAGAAGGCAAATTGATAACATAGAAGTGTCACAATTGTCATTAAACGAGATCCTTGAGTTTTTGTTTGTTTATGTGGTTTTTGAAAGAGTGTTCAGTAGTATAAAAACGCTCTTCAGCATCACTAAAGTCTGCAGCCACTAAAAGAATCCTAAATAATGGATTTCGATGGTTTTCCATGGGTGAAAAACACAACTTTGAGACACATGGCAACCACCAATTTAAAAGACCTACTGCAGTTTCTATGGTAGCTTAGTTAATCCTAAACAAAATGTTTGCTAGCTCTTTTTTTATAGAAGGGCCTTTCCGATTGTGGTCATTCTTAGTCTGGATTTTCTGACTCTTAAAGTTGTTGTCAGATACTGGAAGAGATGGTGTGATGTTTAGTAATAATTTAAATTCATTTCAACATTTTATGTAGAGGGGTTTCTTAAGATTATGTGCACTTCTCATTCAGCTCTTTTGCTGCGGACACAGAGCATGAGGCTGGATGATTGCAAAACCAAAGAAAAAGTGATGATGTGTCATGGTTTCTCGGGAATCCCTGTTCTGCAAGCAGAAGTTCAAAGCATTTTGTATTTGGGAAGCTTGGCAACCCTGAAGCAATGTGGTAGCTAAAACAAAGCAAATTTGTGTCTCTAGATGTTACACGCTTGCTTGCTTTGCCTGTTAGAGAAGAATGGGATACTTCTGAATTTGCCCCCTTGGATTCAAGTTTAAAGTTCCTGAGTTGGTGGCATCACATTGAAATGTTTTGTTTTGTATATTGAAGTTAATATTTCTTCCTACTTCTGGCCAATTGGGAAATATATGTAGAAATTTTGCAATATTACACATTACATGTCAATGCAAGTTTTAGTTGGTTTGATCACTTCGAGTGTTAAAATGGTGAATAAACTGTGTCCTCCTTGAGTAGTGTAGCTTTGACATCCTCACACCAGTGACTCATTACCAGGACTGATTCCTGAGAGGGTGCCCCCTTTCCTCACTTTCTGGCTAGATGATGCTCAGCTATTGACAGACTGAAATCTATGTGCTTCGTTTGGTGGATATGGCCATGTCTTAGGTGAAACATCATCCTTCAATTAAAGACTGCTGGAGACCTTCATAAATTATTATCTTAATGTGCAGTAAATGTTGAGTTATTTATGTGTTAATACATATTTCCTAGGACTGTGATACTGAAAATAAATTTGGAGGTTTTCCAAATTGATTGAGAAAGCTGTTGACCAGAGAGGTTAAGTAACTTGACTAAGGTCACACCTCTCTTTAAGTGGCAGAATGAAGACTTCAGTCTTAGTCCTGTATGATAGAAATGCAAACATATTTCTCATTGCACCAAAGGAATATTATTTGCATTTCAAGTAGAGCCTTTAAAATGATTTTGAAATGCCTGAGACTTTTCTCATGAAGTGATTTGGATATGAGCAGTGATCACATGTGTCATTTTTGAGCAGCTGTTGAAGAAGGCAGAACATGATTATGCCACTTGCTTAATGTATTACATCTGGTTGCTGGAAAAGTTCAAAAATTCTCTGTTAGTTGGGAGAGGAAATTGCTCCCTCTTTGGAGCATTTCGGTAAAAAACTCTACTTTAAGTCATGAATTTTGGCAGCTCCATGGAGGCATTTAGTCGTGCTGCCTGTTGTGCATACAAGAAAGGAGTCAGGATGTTATACAAAGTGTCCTTTAAAGGTCTTCATAACCCCATGTCTTAGTTTCTTAGTGCTGCTATAACAGAAATACCACAAGTGGGTGGCTTTAACCAAGAAATTTATTGTCTCGAAGTTTAGGAAGCTAGAAGTTCGAATTCAGGGCACTGGCTCTAGCGGAAGGCTTTGTTTCTCTGTCAGCTCTGGGGGAAGGTCCTTGTATCTTTTCAGTGTTGGTTCCTTGGCAATCTTCTTGTGGTGTGTATCTTCCCCTCTATTTGGGCTTCCTTCTCTTGCCTAATCTGCTTTTTGTATCTGAAAGATGATTGGCTTAAAACGCACGCTACACTGATCTGGTCTCGTTAACATAGCAAAGAAAGTCCTGTTCCCAAGTGTGATTACATCTACAGGTGTTGGGATTTAGGATTTATAATACTTATTTTTGGAGGACACAGTTCAATTCATAACAGTCCAATGCTATGTAATTTCATAGTTTGGGGAAAAAAAAGAGCTATGGTGATTTTCATCATGTGAATTATTTTATTTTGGTCTTTGGAAATCCCTGTGACCCACTCACAGGAGGAGTTGGATCCTTTGCCATGAGAAAGAGGCTTAATCAAATGAGGCAGTTGGAGATTGTTTTCTTTTCATTTGTCGTAAAATGGGAAACATTTTAAGCTGTCCACGTTGGTTCTCCTTCATCAGGATTTCCTGCCCACTCCATTTTATTTTTAATTTACTCATGATTGCTAGGGGTTCAGTTATAATCATTTTGAGTGGTCATTTTAACACCTTTATTTTACCCAAAAGATATAATAGCTCATCTCTGCCTGCAGCCTCGTTGCTGTAGGAACTAAACAGAAGATTTCCTTGGAGAATGTCTGCATTGAGTAATCTCTGAGCAACTGATTCTGGTTTTGACAGCAACCCTTAAGCTTTGTGAAAAGAAATCCCACGTGATTTGGATGCTTCCGCAAGAATGAGATTTGAGGGAGGAAATACTAAAACCTACTCCATTGAAAATTGTTTTCTTTTTTTAAGTATGTATTATTAAATCTCTTGAATTAGTTACAGTGCTTTCATTACTTATCTTCATCTGCTACTGTGACCTAAAATGTTTAGTATAATGAGCCTCTCAGAGAGAAGTTACGGAGAAATTGAGGAGTGAATTTATTTTGCTCTGATTATTCAAGTGATTTCATAATAAGTACTATTGTATTTTTTCATGTGGAATACTTGGCAATATCACACGCCCCTTCCCTCTTGGGAATTCATTGAATTAATGATGCGTTTAAAGTAACATGCATCTTTTCTGCACCAGGTCACTTCAGGTGGAACATTCATTGGCATTGGACGGAAAACACCAGATTGCCAAGGAAACACCAAGTACTTCCGCTGTAAATTCTGCAATTTCACTTATATGGGCAACTCATCAACTGAACTAGAACAACACTTTCTTCAGACTCACCCGAACAAAATAAAGGCTTCTCTCCCCTCTTCTGAGGGTGCGAAACCTACAGAGAAAAACTCTAACAAATCTATCCCTGCACTTCGACCCAGTGATTCTGGAGACTTGGGAAAGTGGCAGGACAAGATTACAGTCAAGGCAGGAGATGATACTCCTGTTGGCTACTCAGTGCCCATCAAGCCCCTTGATTCCTCGAGACAAAATGGTACAGATGCTACCAGTTACTACTGGTGTAAATTTTGTAGTTTCAGCTGTGAGTCATCTAGCTCAGTTAAACTGCTAGAACATTATGGCAAACAGCATGGAGGAGCGCAGTCAGGCAGCCTTAATCCAGAATTGAACGATAAGCTTTCCAGGGGCTCTGTCATTAATCAGAATGATCTAGCCAAAAGTTCAGAAGGGGAGCCTGTTTCCAAGGCAGACAAAGGCTCTAGTGGGGCTAAAAAGAAGGACTTCTCCAGCAAGGGAGCAGAAGATAACATGATAACAAGCTACAATTGTCAGTTTTGTGACTTTAGATATTCCAAAAGCCATGGCCCCGATGTTATTGTAGTGGGGCCACTTCTCCGTCATTATCAGCAGCTCCATAACATTCACAAGTGTACCATTAAGCACTGTCCATTCTGTCCCAGAGGCCTTTGCAGCCCAGAAAAGCACCTTGGAGAAATTACTTATCCGTTTGCTTGTAGAAAAAGTAATTGTTCCCACTGTGCACTCTTGCTTTTGCACTTGTCTCCTGGGGCGGCCGGAAGCTCGAGAGTCAAACACCAATGCCACCAGTGCTCATTCTCCACCCCTGATGTAGATGTGCTCCTCTTTCATTATGAGAGTGTGCATGAGTCGCAAGCATCCGATGTCAAACAAGAAGCAAATCATCTGCAAGGATCAGATGGGCAGCAGGCTGTCAAGGAAAGCAAAGAACACTCATGTACCAAATGTGATTTTATTACCCAGGTGGAAGACGAGATTTCCCGACACTACAGGTAAGCTATACTGGGGAGGGGGAAGTATCAGAAAATGAAATGAAAGTAGAAGGAATCCAGAGGATTCATCTAATAGTTGTTGAAAGTGATTCGG